CCCAGTTTAAGCCCAGCATTAGCCCAACTTAAACCCAGCATTAGCCCAGCTTAAGCCCAGTTTAAGCCCAGCATTAGCCCAGCTTTAGCCCAGCTTAAACCTGACTCGAATCGTGACCGTGTGAGGCCAGACCACCATGACCTGAGTGCAGTCTCCTTTCAAGGACAAGGCAGTAAATGCAGACAAAATAGCAAAAATACGTCGTAATAATCAACTTCTTCAGTTCAGATAATGAGACAATCATTCATTTGTTTAGGTTTTAAAGTATGAGCAATGCTGGTGACTGACGCAGGATTTCTACAACAGGAGATAAACCTAGAGATGCCCCGCTGTGACTGAGCTTTAATACGCATCATATGCCTTCTGCATATTATATGACAAGAGACAGAGAGAGGTATGCAAAGCAGTTATTTGGTAATATTCATTTGTCAAACATCCAGTACACACTTCATATAAAGTTGTCCTGTTGCTCTGTGATTTTATCTCATTCTCACAGTTAAACCTTCCCAACCTCGTGTCTCACAGGCTGTTCATCATCTGTTCAGTGTTCCCAAACCTGATGATCAGTCACTAAACCACCGTCACCTTTAGCATTTTTAACAAAGTAAGGCAGAATTTCACCGTGGCTGTGCCACGACACAGCTTTACATTCACTGTTGCATTCAACAATGAGACAAACCAGATCTGTCAGCTGTTTATCAAAGGCTTCACAAACATGCATCTTCCATGTGTCAGCCAGCATGCAGCCTGTTTCAGTGTTAGTTACTGTTCTTACTGTCTGGGAGGAACTTTACCACATCATTTCCTTGGCACTCATAAAGTATTCTGATTCTGAGATGCTCACAGCTGATGATGTGCGACCCAAAAGGAAACTAATTCAGTTCAATTCAGTTTAATTTATACAGCACCAAATCACAACAACAGTCGCCTCAGGGCGCTGTAAGGTAAAGACCCTACAGTAATACAGAGAAAACCCAACAATCATATGACTCCCTGTGAGCAAACACATGGCGACAGTGGAGAGGAAGAAACCTCCGGCAGAGCCAGGCTCAGGGAGGGGCGGCTATAACTGGTTGGGTATGAGTGGAGGACGAAGGCAGAGCCGATAAGAGCCTCAGTGCAGAGATCTGTCTGAACAGACGCACTGAGTGCATCATGGGAAACACTCAGCAGCAAAACTAAGCAATCCAGAACTTTATCAGACATGAAAAGACTGCTGAACTTTTGGGTAATTACATGAAACTAAATCATGAAATGATTTTCATTCATGGTATTCGTCTTGTTTCTGATGTTATGGATTATTTTAATGTTTAATCAACAAGCTGTTTTTACACACTCACTGCAGCAGAAATAAACTGTACGAGTCGCTCATCATACCTCCATGTGTACCACACACACGCACACACACGCAC